CGGAGATCATCGGATGTTAATTCCTTTCCACTTGCAGTTGGGTTCCATTCACGCTTATCTGTGGCGCATTGTGGGAAGGGGATTTGTTGAGTGGCTGTTGGGCCATGACCACCGTCTTTTACGTTTTGATAACCAGGTCGACGTTCTCGCCGGCAGTGGCGAAAAGGCCCATGCTCTTTTGGACGTCTCTTTCCGAGGTGATGTTGAAAGCACAGTCGTCGGCGAAGAGAAGTTCGTGAACGGTGGTTGTGGATACGCGCGATTGGGAGTACACCCACCGTTGGTTAAGGAGGTGACCGTCCGTCCTGTAGGCGATGCGGATCCCGGGACGTACGTCGCGGTTGGCGTCGAGAACGCACCCCTGCTTCACTCCGCTGATCACTGCAAATGCATCTGAGAGAACTCCATTGTCCGTGACTCTCTCCATCACGCCCTCGTGGAGATGACGCACCATCTGAATATATCGCTCGGAACAGCCGAATTTCTGCATGGTCTTCCACAATCCTTCACGATTAACCGCATCGAATGCTTTCGTCAGACCCACGAAGATAGAGTACAGTGGGTTCGCACCTCTTGACACTTCTCCTGCAGCTGACGGGCGGCGAAGATCATGTCTGTGGTCCCGCGATGACGGCGGAAGCCGCACCGACTTTCCGGCAGAAGACCTTGCTCTAGGTGATTAGTCAGGCGGCTGAAGAGGATACGAGCAAAGATCTTCCCGGCGATTTTCAACAAGGAGATGCCTCAATTATTTTTGTAGAGCTGGAGGTTTCCTTTTCGTTTGTATAGATGCACGATTGGGACGTCCTTGAAATCCCGCAGGACTTCTCCTTGACGCCATATCTCCTGAAATAACGCGGTCAGATGATCCATTAGTTGGAGGCAACCGTTCTTGTATATCTCAGCAGGGGTCGCGTCTGATCCGGCACTTTCCCGCTGGACAACTGCTGCACAGTTTGTGGATGTGTGTGGAGAGGGCGGGGGCCGAGGTCGGTGTTAGTCTCAATTTTAGGCAGACGGGCGATGACGGCGTCGAAGAGGGTGGAGGGACGGTTGAAAACGTCTCGAAAGTTCTCGGTCCATCACAGTAGGAGCTGTATCTTCTCGGTGGATAGGGCACTGCCATCGGGGCTGAGATGAGGAGCAGTTCATTTGGTTGGCGGACCGTTGACAGCCCTGATTGCGGAAATAAAATTCATCCATTTGTTGCGGTCCGTACATCCTTGGATCTCCTCGGCCTTACGATCCGTCCAGGTGTTCTACATCTCTTTCAGTCGGAAAATACGCATCTTCTAGATAACGAGGCGATGGTCAGTCCACCCGTCAGCACCTTCGATCGCCTTTGCCACCAACACGTCCCACTGGTCTCGTCTCCTGACGAGGACATAGTCCGGCAGATGCTACGGACGCGGCCGAGGACGCATCCAGGTAGCCTTCTCTCGCTCCAGCAGACAAAAGGGGGTGTTCGTCAGGATGAGGCTGTGTTCTGCGCAGGTGCAGAGAAGCAGCAAACAATTGTTGCTGGAACCGTCGAGATCATGGCAACCCAGCACTCCTCTCCAGGACGCATGGTCTGTGCCTTCGTGGGCGTTGAAGTCGCCAAGGACAATCAACTTATCCGCCTTCGACACAGTCGCCAGGAGAGCGTGCAGATCCTCGTAGAATATGTCACTGTCGGCGTCAGGGCGGGCCATCGGCGGAGCGCAGGAAATGAAGATGATTCCGAATTTTCCTCCCCAGGGAGGCAGGCGGAGGCTCATTAGGCGGCCGTTGATGTCCTACGGCAGACAGGGCAGTCGTCCCACGGTGTCGTTCCGGATGGCGAAGGTGACACCCGCGTCTCGTCGCTCCGCCATGGGGCGACCGTTCCAGAAGAAGATGTAGTCGACACCCACCTCCTCCAGTTGGCTTTGTTCGGAGAATCGGGTCTCACTGAGTGCGGCGATGTCCACCTTGTAGCGCGCCAGTTCCCGAGTCACTAGTGTCGTCCTCCGTACCGGTGGGTTGTTCCTCGGATTGCCAAGAAAGGGAGCGAACATTTCAGGCTGCCAGAGTGAACGGACTCACCCTGTCAGTCTGGCGAGTGGGGCTGCGGGAAGGAGCGGGAGAAGATGACGAGGGAAAAGACGAAGTAGAATACGGAGAAGAAAAGGAAGAAAAGGCAGGGGGAGGGAGAGGAAGTATTGTTGTTGTTGTTTTGATTTTTGCTGTTTCGACCGTGAGTTTAGCGTCTGCGACCACTATCAGCCTGCAGACGACGTGGTTCCTCAGCAATCTTTAGGTCGCCTTTTCTAACCCCTCTCCGAAGGCCGGCAGTGCCTCCCTAAACAGGGCTGCCCGGTTTGGCCCGCGCGGCTGAACTCCACTAAGGGCCACGACTTTTGGTCAATAGAAAACAACTCGAATTTGCCAAAAGCTTACGATATCGCCCTAAGCCCGCGGCCTCCTGCGATGCACCAGGTGGGGTCTCGTCTCGACAGTGCCGATGATAAGTTCCAACCAACCGGCTGACCAGCGGCGTACCAGACGGAGCCTCGTCACGACGGTGCCGATGCGGAATTCCATCCGACCAACCGCCCAGCGGAGTTCTCACAACCGTGTGCGCGCTGTGCCCGTGAACACAGAATGTCCGCCCTCACCTGATTTAGTCCGCCGGTCGAGGCGTTTACCGGGGCGTGGCCGCTGGGTAGAGCCCAGCTTCGGGAGCCACGGGTGGGAGTTGGGTGCCAGCCAATAAACGCCAGGCGTAGTCTGCATTTTCAAGCAAGTGAGCGACCTACTACGACCATCACGTAAACCAACCGTTGGAACCTTACACTCCGCAACCACACTTCTCACGTGCGTGAGAGTGCCAGAAGTCACGTTAAGATGGAGTCTGACATCCTGCCTCTCAGACTATCAATCTGCCAATCCAAGCAATCACATCCAACTGGGCAGACTGCGTGACTGAGTTGGGGCATCGGTCAGCAGCCTTTGACGCCACGACGCCTGGCGCACTGTGACAGTAACAGACTCAGATCATGCATGCAGCAGAAGAGCCTCATGGAGAAAGGTCCGTCAGGCACATCTCGCATTTGCGCGGGAGGTGGCAGTTGAATGCTTGTGGTTGGTGTTCAGAGGTGCAGGTGCTGACGGAAGAAGATGCGATGATGTGGTGTGGCCGGCAGTTGTCTACCGCAAGTTTTCATGAACACGCATGCGTCCCAATAGGCCCATGTGATGAGTGAATGTGCGGGTGTTATGAGGGTAGTTGAGGCGGATGGGGCGTGCGTATGCAGGTGCTTCAGGCACTGGTTCGACAGTCCCTGTACGATGGATTCGCAGGTGACTGACCTGGCATGTTGTAAACGGCGAATGGTTGACACTGAGAGAACGGGGACATTTGTGATTCGTGAGCCTCTCGTTTAGCATTGGCTGCGGCGATCCGATTTGCTTCATAAATGGCAGAATCGTTATTCACTTCTTTTCCCCAAGCCGGTCTGTTCTGGGCGAGGCCCCCAATCTCTCGACTGAGAGGGAATCCCTTAAGAGAATTCCTCGAAGTGTCCACTAGCGTTATTTTGGTAGTCTCGGTCGACGGGCACTGGTGGTGAACTCACCGTCGAAGAGGTGTTTCGGTAGCAGTGTGTCTTCCATCTTAAGTAGATGGCTGCTCCAGCGTAGCTGCAGTTACCTTAACATGGCGTGAATGCTGAGGACGTCGGTCCGTTCTGGGAATTCGTGTCCGGGATCCTTCCTTGCCATCTCAGCTTTAGTAATGTGCGGAGGCAGCTGAGATGGGCGTGACAAAGTTCATTGACATGTTTAGAGTATACGGTCCAAGTCTCCGATGCGTAGAGAAGTGTTGTCAGGACGACGGCCTTGTACATCTTCAGTTTGGTACTCATTTGGAGGCCGTGACGATTTCACACGGACTCCTGTAGCCGGTCGAAGGCTTGTCTGGCTTTGGAGATCCATTGGACTACCTCGTCGTCGTTTCTTGTGCTGTTTGAAAGTGTGCTTCCGAGATAAGAAAAATAACCCAGTGTTTTGAGTTGGTGGCCGTTGGCAGTGATGCGAGGAGGAGTGCAGCGTTGCGTGTTGGGTGACGGTTGGTGTATGGCCACCGTTTTGTCCGTGTTGATAATCAGGCCGAATTTGGTGCATCCGGCGTCGAGAAGGTGAAAGCTCCGTTCTATGTCTACTTACGTTGTGGTGCTGAGCGCGCAGTTGTCGGTGAAGAGTAGGTCGCGGACCGTAGGCTTATTAAGCCACGTTCGGGTCTGCATGCGCCTGCTGTTGATAAGATGCCTGTCAATTCTGTAGGTGATGCGTATCCCTGGGCGCTCGTTACGGTAGGCATCCGTAAGCACGGCAGTTAACGTGAGACTGAAGAGGGTAGGCGTAAGGACGCAGCCCTGCTTCGCTACATTGGTCACTGCAAATGTCCTCGGAGACGCGCACCATCATCCCGTCGTGGAGCTGACGTACCATGTGCGTGAATAGTTCAGTACGACCGAATTTCCACGTGATTGTTCCCAGTCCCTCATAATTCTCCGTATCAAAGGCTTTCGCCAAGTCCAAGGTGGTGCCGAGGTGAGTTCGCATCTCCTGGCACTTTTCCTGTAGCTGACGAGCGTCGGAGCCTGGTACATTTACGTTGGAGAGTTGTTGCACGGCGCGAATGATTTCCGGGCGGGTGGGCGGAAGACCGAAGTCGATGTTGATTTCCACTTGGGGGGCCGATCTGTGGCAGCGTCAGAGATTTTGGAGGAGCGGTTGAGGACGTTTCTGGAGTGCTCGATCCAACGCTTCAGAATCTGCGACTCCTCCATCAAAAGCGTTACTCCATCGGAGCTGAAAAGCGGTGCAGTTCGTTTGGTCGGGGGCCGTAGATCATCATCATTACAGCGAAGAAATCCTTTGAGTCTTTTTGATCGGTGTATGCCTGAATCTTCTCGGCCTAGCGAGCCATTCAGAAGTCCTGCAGTTCTCTCAATCGTTTCTGTGCTTGACTACGACGTTGGTAGAAGGCCACTTTGTTCGCATCGGTTCGGCGGTCGAAATATGCTCTCTGCAGCCTCATCTTCTCGGCCAGCAGGTTACTGATGGCGAGGTCATTTTCGTCAAGCCCGTCCTGGTGCTGACGACGTGCGCGGCCGAGAACAGCCAGGGCGATCGAGTGAGCGGCATCCCGTAGTCGGCACCATCGATGCTCCACGGAGACGTTTTCATCAGCTGCTGGCAGGTCTTCTAGCCTCTGGGTTAGTTAATTGCCCAAATGCAAACGGTGAGCAGGCAAAGACAACAAAGCAGTATTCAGCTTGCCTGGGGAGGCGCTTAACTTGTAGCCTTCTGTGGGCTTTCAGACGAAGCCGCATCATGGAGTTGACGAGGCGGCGGTCCGCCAGCCATCGGCGTCGCAGATCGTCTTGGTCACCAGCACGTACTGTCAATCTCGCAGCCGAACGAGAATATAGTCCAACAGGTGCAATGTCGCGATCGGGGGTGCATCCAGCTGACCTTCTTCCAAATCGGCAGGGAGAAAAGTGTGCTAGTCAGCAGGAGACGGTGTTTTCAGCGCAGGCCCGCAAGAGAAGGAGGCCATTGTTGTTAACGATTTTCACGCTCTGTGTAGAGGACCATAATTTGAGAATTTTATCCTGGCGATGGATCCCTCAGTTAGAAATGCGTTAATGCTGAAAGGAATAAGGGGTTTGAAGAGTTGATTCGCTGTATTCAAGATATGCTTATTTTCCATTTAGATTCCGCTTTGTCTATACCATAGGCCTCGCAGACTGCTGCTCCGTTTCTTTTGTTTTCAAAAGTTTTTGCTCCGCGAGAAACATATGGATGCATGACTGTTTATTACTCAAAGTAGTTGTCAATTTCAAGTAATCGGGTGGACTGATACGACGACTGCTTCTGATGAGAATGTGAACAATGCTGTCGAGTGAAATTAATGCGATGTTGTTGGCAGTGAAGAACTCGGGTTTAATATATCACCGATCGGCTGACGCATGGCGAGAGCCCAGGAAGCGGGTTTGGCCCGATTCTATGACCACCCTTTTCCTTTCCGAATCATCATACCATTCAAAATGACTTCAATTTACGGAACCGGCAAAGTCGCTGTTTCGCGTGTCAAATTTCTTACCGCTTATTCAGACACCTGTTAGATCGTCAACGCAGTTTTTAGAGAAACTAAAAAGGGTGAGTATACCGAAAAGCCATGTTGTGGTACCTGTTGACGTCACGTCTCTTTTTATTTATCGTCTGCAAGATCCAGCAATCAAAACCGTCGAACAACCCCTGCCAGCACATGACGCTTTCATAGGCGGGGCTGGAAGGGGCTGGGTGGGGCCAAAGCCCCCTCTGCACTGAAGCATTTTTAAGCTTATTTGCATCGAAAGATATGTTTCAAAAGCACCACTTACTGTACCTTCTTTGGAATTAAAAGGAGCTAATTTATCAAAATTGGCTTATAAATCATGGAGAAAGCATCCGTTTACGCCCACTGAATGTAGCTGCGGATGAGCACAATATATTGAGGTTTTGTTTAAGTCCCTGATTGCGTAAACTCTTATTTGTCCACCGGTTTACAATCTGTGTGTGTTATTAATTCGTATATTTGACAATCGGGACGATATTTTAAAGTGGTGCCAAAAGCGGGCGGGGATGTTGCCTCCCCTGCGTATTTTTTTTCGCTGGCGGGGCCAGGCGGGGCTATCGCGTTGCATGCCCAGCCACAGCCCCGCCTATCCCCCTCATGGCCCCCTCTAGCCCC